CAGAAAATTCAAATCAACTCGGCATCTTTAGCCTGTTTTCTCAAGGATTTAGTGGATATTTCAGTAATTGCATATGGAAAGAGCTTGATAGATCATGCTACTTCGAGTTCCAAGCAAAATTAATTTATTCATTCTTTGTGTATATTATACAATCTTCCTCAAATAAACTTGACCTAAACCTGTAACGCTCGTCTTGTGTCTGACTTAAATCTATTACAAGATAACCATACGGTTTTTTCATAACATCGTCAAATGCAAATTGATGGACAGGATTATTTTTACCAGCATTCATTTGTCGACCAAGCTGTGCAACAAAAGTGGTGTCTCGAGGATTCTTCAAAGCAACAATATATTTTTGAGTTTAAAGTAATACTTCTAGTTTTACTTTCTCCAAAAAAATTTGAGTTAAAAATATAATTGAAATATTATTATGATGGCTATATATTGTAAACGCCTTAACCATTTCTTCGGATTTAGCTACATCTGTCATGAGGTCATCTATTATCAGCAATAAGGGTTCGCCATCTCCTCCAAACTCTGTGGGCAGACCCTTGTGGAATACAATGGATGGGGCGTCCTTTTTTATTTGCTCAAACAGAGCTGGCTGGTACTCTTGGTAGCAGTAATGAACTGATGCTATGGGCGGATGCATTAATTGCATGCGACGTTTTATGATCTTGGCTGTCAGCGTGCTCTTCCCGCTCTGGGTACCGCCTGCCATGGTTAAAGTAAATGGTGTTTTTAAGCGAATGTCAACGTCGTTACAAGTCTCCATGGTTGCTAAAATAAATTAATGAGATTTATTTACAAAAATTCAATCAATTTATCCTCTACAAATAATGTTGTGGTTACAAAAACCTTGTGAATTTAAAAGCGCTTGCTCGGCCTTATATTTAGGTGCATCAACATGGCCATGAGCATATGTAAACATTGGATTTACAATAAATCTTTTAGTATCAAAACCATTCAACGCTTTTTTCTTACAAAATATAGTATTAATATTATGTTTGCTACTAACAATGCTCCTGAAAGAAATTTGTTCGTGATGACAACGATTTATTATATCATCAATTAAATCATAGGGAATCTGATGCGCAATCGCAGAACTTATACAACCCTTTGCAGCAATCTTGATTTTCTTGACCATGTTTCCTTCAGCATCCCATGTTATCGCTTCTGCAGCATACATTTTTGACTTTGCAACGGCAAACTTCCACAGAACCGCTGAGCCAAATTCATCCTTCATTTTCTTTAAACGTTTGTGGTTGGTTGGATCTCTCATGAACTCTAGAATTCCACCATGCTCGCTCAGGTCGAACATGTCATTATTGGCCTGCATGTCCTTGTAAATATCTTCCGTCTCGACAAAGTAGACAAGCGAGTCTGAACTAACAAGAAAAACGTTTTTAGAAAAAAGGTTGAAAATGTTCGCTTCAACGTCGGCACCTGTGTCTCCATACAAGACTTTGGCAGAGTCCCCGTACTTTGGTACCATGTAGTCGTAGTGAAAATCGTACATCATACATTTGCTAATGTCCAGGATAGCCACGCCCACCGCAATCGGTTTATCCAAATAGACTGCCATACGTTTCTTGACTGCAATTTGAACATCCTCGTTGATTTCGATAATTCTTTGATACGTTGGTTTGCGAAGAACCCGTTTCATTTGAGCTTCAGTGCTGATGATAGTCATGGATTGCCTTTTTCTCTTGTTCTCTATGCACTGCAAACAATAAAAAGTTATTTTTAGAAAAAAATCGAAAAAGTTGGCGCCCCAAAAAAAATTTTTTTAGGGGGTGTGGTAATTTATGAGGGGGTGTAACCACCTTCCCAAAAGCGGCGTTGTTAAGTAATTTGTAGAAGTTTTTCTCGTACTCCGTGACCGCTTCAATTCGCTTTCTAGTATTGAAATCAAGAAAGGTTTTCATCCCCGGCGCCTGGGTAAACTGCATGCCTCGATGAATCTATGTATAGATGAATTTTAGTCTTATATTAAAAGCACTATAAAGAAAAGCACAAACCTTTGTAATCTTGAGTCCCAATTGTAGAAAACGTCTAATGTTTCTATAGTGGCACACATAATTCAGCTTGGGGTTCAAGTCGGCCACAAGTTTTGAAGTCGTAATGGCCGAGTTTGGAATTTCCAACTGCTGCACGTGATGTTGTTGGAACTCGGATAGTTCTTCTGATGCAATTACACGTTTTATGGGTGCAGGGGGGTAGTCATTTAGCTTGTTATGAGTCTCCGGGGGAACGATTAAATCAATTTCGAAAAAGTAGCCAGTGGTTGCGTCATCCGCCAGAGTTGAAAAACTTGTGAGGATCAAGGGATATAGAGTCGAGCTGGACTTGAGTCATCCACTTGTAGTCCTTTAGTGGAAGAGCTTCACACATTGCAGACCCTTGAGATAAAGAAGCAGCAGAAATTGAAAATAAGCGATAAGAAGTTATTATTTAAAATAAATGAATTTCTTACCATATAAATTATTTATATCTAAAAAAGATGTAGTGGGTTTGTCCTTGTCGTAAAGATCTTGCATGTAGGGGTTGTTTGCTTGCGCAATCGGCATCCCTCCGGCTCCGCAAACCCTTCCACGCACACCCTTTTCAAACCACTGGTATTCATCTAACCCCAAGTAGTCTAGTTCAACATCTCCCAGTTTGCATACACCATCAAATGCCACCATGGGGAGACTTAGATAGTGAGCAACATCTAGGCCATAGGATTCCCACAAAATGTCTCGAGTCCTCTCAAGACAATCTGCGAGAATGCTCACATCTAACAAACAATATAGATCATGCCATTCGCCCAAGTTTTTGATTTGATAGCTTGCCCAAACTTTTTTTGCGTTCTCATATTCGTCAGGGCTGCAGGGCTCTTCGGTAAGATCATTGAAGAAGTGTTCGATGGCAGGTAATTTTGTTTCTTGGAAATTATCCGGGGTTTTCATATAGGTGTACGGATATATACCTTTCCCCATCAAGAGATCAACGTTTCCATCTCGATAGAGAGCTTTTAGACCGTTGAATTTTGAAAACATTTTCTTGGTAGTCTTGAAATGTTCTGAGTTGTTGCCATGTCCAAGGGATTTTGATAGCTTGTCAATGGAGGCAGGCATCACAGCGCCGCTATCCACAAACCTCACTGTGCGTTCACCTTTCTTTACTGAGAAGGAGAGAAACCTCTCACTGGTGCATGGGATAACTTCTACTTCCATGTCTTGGGTGAAATTAGACACCAGGAAGTGTGCATCGTAATTTCTATATAACAAACTGATGTTAGGGTTTTTTATATATATAATTTGAAACAAAAGACTGCGATTACCTAAGTCCGTGAAAGTAGATAGGAGGCGAACGTCTAACACAGAACGTCTAAGATTGCAACTACAAAATTGAAAAAATTATGTTAAGTAATACAAAAACGGAAAATGGAATAATAATAATATTTTGAGCTACCTCTCATGGGATAACCCAAGAAATTGACGAGAAAAGTGATCGTGATGAAATACGGTTTTATTTTCTGGCTTTCCTTCCAATTTCTTTTTGCAAAAGTAGCACGGGTCTAGACTGTCGACGTCGTTATCAATTTGGTGAAGCAGGCGTTTCTTTAGTGTTGGGCTAATTTTCATATTATATTTTGATCTTTCTTGTACGATTTTAATTTCCTCTTGTCGAATTTCTTGATCCTTAAAAATGTCATCAAAAAATCTTGCTACCACGCTCTCATCATCTCGCTTTGCTCGATGCACGTTGTAGGCGACTATTGTATTGTTCCAATCCAAGCAGAGCCAGGCATATCCAGAAGGGGTATGGTTGGCCAGATCGAGTTGTCGCTCATTCTCAGGGAGGCGAGCGTTCTTGCTTCTTAACAATGACTCAAAGTCTGCATAATATCTTTAAAAACCGAAAGTGTGTTTAGTAAAAGATAACAGAATAATTAACACAAAAGCAGTACCTGTATGGGGCTTTAACCATGCGACCATACTTGTTGAAGGAATACGACTGTTCCTCAGGTACGGTCACCTGCTGCATTCCCAGGGCTAAGCAGTTGCTCCGGTGATTGTTCAAACGATCCTCGGTGGTGAAGCTATTTACACAGTTTTTGCAACTCCATGACTTGCTACTGCGTTGGGAGATAAGGGCATCAAAATTGCGTATTAATGCATAGTGTCCCTCCCATCCACTGTCGTTTTCATCCAAAATTAAAAGAATGTGAATCTCATGAAGATTTGAAACTTCAGTATCCGCATGAGTGTGTCTTGCAATCCTTTTTCTAACTCGAAATTGGGGTGTTTTGTTTGAAGAATATAATGGGTAGATTGAGTTTCTAATTTCTTTGCGAATTTTGAGATTATCCGCGGCACTACGGGTCGACTTTCTTGCCAGAGTAGAACAGAGTTCTTTGGCCGAATCTCCTTCTTCATAAACGAACACGTGAAGATCAATTGTAGGATTTTGCTCGGAGAACTTTGCAAACTGGGACATGTCCATGGGCATGCTAATTCCATCCCAGTTGAATCCATGATTTTGCAGTTCATCAATGTATGTAGACCTTCGCTCTTGGTGAAGACTGATGTGTTTCCCATGCCGAATTTTTAGTCTTGGCAAAATCTTGGATGCGACGCACGAAATCATAAAACATTTATTGTCAACTGTTCCAGTAGACGGGTCCGTGTTATCAATTGATAGCACGG